GGGGCGGTGCAGGCGCCGAAGGACAGGGCGTGCTAGCGTGTAGGGAGGCACTGCGAGGCGGGCAGGTGCGAAGTTCGGTATCGCTACCTGTAGGGGCTGAGGCTGGGGCCAGTGAGGCTTTGAGCGCTCTGGGGTATGGGTCGCAACTTCATGGCGCAGAGGCTTGGGAAAAGGGCCTTTCTCCACAGCAGCTTCCCTCCACACTGTCTCCCAGGGCTCTTTGTTTTTTTTTTTGTTGTTGTTGTTGTTTTTAGACAGTGTCTTGCTGTATAGTCCAGGCTCCCCCTGAACTAACTATACAGCCCAGGCTGGCCTCGAACTTGTCGCAGTCCTTCTGCCTCAGCCTCCCCAGTGCTGGGATTACAGGCGTGCGGCAACATGCTTGGCTCAGGGCTCCTATTCGCGTGTGGTTTGTGCCTCTTGGACTTGAATTACTTAACAACCAAGAAGAAGGAAATCCCCCAGATTCTCCTAGACCAAACTAGACATCTGTATTGTGCCCTTGGAATTTAACACCTTCAGAGCTCCTGGCAGGGGCTTTGGGAGGAAAGTGAGATTGAACTTGCTGCGTGAGTTTAGGTGATCCCTTTTAGTGTCTCAGGCTTGGGGGAGAAACAAACACAACAGGTTGACCTAAGGAGTCGGAGGAGCTGAGTGACTTCTTCTTCCAGAGGAGAGTGGAATTCCCGCCCCCCGTCTGGCCCTACCCGTGGGCCTCGCCTTGGGACCTGTACAGAAGAAGATGGCACCAGAGGAGCCTCCAGAGAAGCGGGCCGTGCTCATGGGCGCCGTGGACCCGCCTCATCCTGGGGCAGCCCCCGGTTTCCTACCCCGTGGCAAGGTTCCTCTGAGGGGTGAGGAGGGGCTTGCTGGTGAGGGCTTTCCAGCGTGTGCCCTGAGGGAGGATAGACCCACGGCCTCACAGGTGTTGGAGGTGGGCAGACGAACCCTTCTGTAGACAGCTGAATGGGGCTGAAGTGGAATGGGGGCTGTCTCTAGGAATGGAGTCGGGGGGTAAGTCTGAACCCTGATTCCTCAAAATGTGACTCCCCTGCCCCCTCCTGGACAGAAGAGCGGCTGGATGAGCCCCTCAGTCTGGCAGGCAGTGGCATCAGCAGTATCAACATGGCACTAGAGATCAACGGGGTGGTCTACACTGGTATGGGTACTGCAGGTTGTCTACACTGGCGTGGAGTCAGGTGTATTTAGTCTGGCATGGGGACTTTAGCCTTTTCTACTAGCATGAGGTTCAGGGGTATCTGAACTTGCATGGGTACAGGTTCAGGGTGGCGTGGGCTACAGGGGGTAATCTGTAAGGCATGGGGTTTAAGGCATGGCCCCGTGGCATGGTTACCATGGAATGTTTGCCTTGTCATGGGCCTGTGTATCAGTGTCAGTATTGCCTATTTACCTGCTCAAAGGTCTTTACACTGGCATATGAATCTCTCACTGGCCTAAGGGTCTTCTTCTACAACCAAGGAGGCTGGGTGGCAAGGGCGTGTGTGGTGTTCTAGCAGTCAGCACGCTTACATTTTTTTCCCTTCTTCTCTTCTGTGCCCCACCCTCTCCTCTCGTGCTTGCCTTCTGCCGCCTCCTGCCCCTCTCACCAGGCGTTCTCTTTGCCCGTCGCCAGCCTGTCACAGCTTCCCAGGGCCCAGCTAACCCCGCACCCCCACCCTCAGCAGGACCCCCTGTCAACACCTTGCCCTGAGAGCTCCTGCTCAGAACTAAGTCCCAGCCCCACTGCTGGGTGGGCACCTTCTCACCCTGATTCTTTCAAAATGCCCACTCTGGGCCCTGATCGACACCATACCCCACCTCCCTGCTAAATGTTTTACCTTGCTCTTTCATCTACCTCATCGTAAAAGGAGGGCACCTCCTCGCTGGCCAATTCCAGCAGCATCTACCAAAGAATTCTTGCCCCAGAAACCCACATCATCTCCTCCCGTGCCCCTGTGTCAGTGTCATCTGTGGCACCCCCCCTGAGTCAGCCCCGCTTCCCCTCAGGAGCCAGTGACTGGCGGAGTGTTATGAAGGAAATGGCCCTCGGGTCACATCTGGAAAATAAAGCCCTGATCCCTCCCTCTTCAGTGCCTTCTCTTTTTGTCTGGGTCTGGGAGGGGGAATGATGTAATACACAGGCAGCGTTAGGCCGTGAGTTTTTAGAGGTGAAGGCAGGATAGCAAAGTTCCATGAGGGCAGAAGTTTCTCGAGTCAGACTGTTTAAGTTTAAATGCTGATTCTTCACCATAGTGCCTTGGACAAATCACTTAAGTCGTTATTATTATCATCATCATTAGTAGTAGTAGCAATACTAAGATTTGAACCCAGGGCCTTCACATGGAGATACAATCCCCTCCCTGTGCCTTTGTTTGTGTTTTTTTTTTTTTAGCTTTTGAGACAGGGTCTCCATACATAGTCCAAGTTGGCCTTGAACACACTATGTAGCCCAGGCCTAATATTTGGGTCGATCCTCCTGCCTCAGCCTCAGGAGTGCTGGGATCACAGGTGTGTGCCACCACAACCGGGTTTTTTTTTTTTTTAAGGGTCTAAATCACTAAGCCCAAGCTGGGCTCCAAACTGCGGCCTTCCTCAGCCCTACAGAGCGCTGGAATCACAGGCGTGTGCCTGTCCACCTGGCTCTGGTCCTTTAGTCTCTTGAACCTTGAACGACTCAAAAAGTTTATATTTCATTCAAGAATCTTCGGGGCTGGGGATTTAGCTCAGCGGCAAAGTGCCTGCCTGGCAAGCGCAAGGTCGTGAGTTCGGTTCCGGTACCGGAGAAAAACCAAAACAACAAAAAAAGAATCTTCCTACTGGTCTATGGCAATGGGCCTATCTTGGAATAGCAGATGTGTTTACACGTGCCACTTGAGGGAATGGGGTGGAGAAATCGCTGATATCCTGGAATTAGAAAAAGAAAAGCAAAATGCTGTCAACCGGATGCTAGAAGTCAGGACTGGGCCTCAGACAGGTAGCGTTGCCTAGGTAACCAGGCAGCTTTTTGCCGTCTTCCACCGGTCCTGTCAGGCCACTTCCGGCATTGGAAAGCTGAATCGTGACGCCACTTCCTGCATTGAGGCCACGCGTGCCCTCGCATTGGCCAGCCTGCCTGTTGGGGCGGATGTCCCACCCTCTGGGGGTTCCGCGGTGGAGAGGGTGGCCGCAGCGATGGCAGCTGTGACAGATGTACAGAGGCTGCAGGCCCGAGTGGAGGAGCTGGAGCGATGGGTGTACGGACCAGGCGGAGCCCGCGGCTCGCGGAAGGTGAGCGTCTGCTCTGGCGGTCCGTTTCTGGGCCAGGGCACGAGCCGTCCGCTGGTCCCGCCCTCGGGATGGGTACAGTCGCCGGAGCCCCGAGGTCCTCCATCCGGCCTGTGAGGTGACAAAGACCTGGGGCCGCCTGGAGCGGACTGGAGGCTCGAGGTCCATTCCCGTGGGCGCGGGGGTGGGCAGCGGATGGTCAGGCCTCTTTGGGCTGGGCTCGGTGACGACGGTGACTAAGACTCCGCCGCAGCCCTCCAAGACTGCTTGGGGAGACTTGGCCGCTAGAGAAGCTGACTGTGGGAGTTCCAGTGAGAGCTGAAGTCCACAGTGCAGGTGCCGGCCCGGAGCCCAGCGCAGTTAATGGCTAAAAGAATTGTGCGCGGGCCCCAGAAGGGGGCGTCCAGGCTTGGATCAGGAAGGCTCCGAGAAGGCCGGGATTAGCACAGTCGAGGACTGGGTACTGGGTGCTCAGATGGGGCTGGCAGCCCACAACAGCGGCTGAATTTTGACAGATGCGAAGCTCGGTACACTAGTCCCCTTTCTCAAGGCAAAGAATATTTATTGAGGAATTTCTCATGTCTTGTCAGGCATATCCTGCAGCTAAGGAATCAGGGATGACCTCTGTGTGTACACTTTATTTTTTTTGCTTGTTTTTTGAGGCAGGGTCTCACTATGGAGTTCAGGCTGGCCTTGAACTCACTTTGTAGCCCATGCTGGCCTCAAACTCATGGTGATCCTCCTGCCTCAGCCTCCCGAGTGCTGGGGTTACAGGCATGCACCACCACCCTCGGCATTCATTATATATGCTTTTAACTCTACATCTCCCCTAACTTGATTTTCTTCTGTGTTCCCTATACAATGATTGCACGATTATTGGGACCCTAGAAGTTGTGCTATGTTCTTCCATCTCCCACATTAGAGTTGAGGTGGAGGAAATAGGGCTGGAGGTCGGCCAGCCAGTCTGACAAGTGTATAGTCATCCAGTCATGAGGTAATGAAAGCATGGGTGAGATCATTGTATTTCTCATGCTCAAACCTAGGGTTTTACAAACCAGGGAACATATAATGTCTTAATGACTCTTTTCTCATTGCTGAGACAAAATACCCAATGCCTAAAGTTAAAGGAGGAAAGGTTTATTTTAACTTACAGTTTGTAGAGGTTTCCATGCATAATCAGGATCTCGCTACACAGTCCAGGCTGACCTTGGATTCACTACAGAGCTCAGGCTGGCCTCGAACTTATGGTGATCCTGCTGCCTCACCCTCCCAAGTGCTAGGATCACACGCATGTGCCACCACACCCTGCAGGATAAAAGGTTCTTTACTGGTTTGAAGCCTTGAACCAGATGGTATATTTAGAATTAACCTCCATACCCTTCACAGGTGGCTGATGGTCTGGTCAAGGTGCAGGTGGCTTTGGGGAACATTGCCAGTAAGAGGGAGAGGGTGAAGATTCTCTACAAGAAGAGTAAGTGCTTCCAGGGGTGCCTGCTTGCCCTGCTTCCCATGCCTGTGATTCTGGGACCTGACCTTGCTTCTTCAGTCAGTAGGTCCTTGAAGTAGTCCTATGAGGATAGAAAGAATGTGAAGACATTTCCCTGCCCAAGTGGTGAACTGGGGTGTGCTTTTCTACCTTGTGGGTAAATCTCAAGCCCATTCCAGCATCCCAGGTTGTGAGACGAGAGCCCTGCCTGAAAGCTTCCCCTGGTGAAGGGAGGGGAAGAGGATGTGGGATTTCTCCGGGCAAGGTTCAGAAGCAGGAAAGAAATTAGCCACTGAGAGCCCCAGGCTTGGTTCAGCCAAGTCTCTTTAGTTCTGTCACAATTGGTAGCTGCCCACTACCTGGAAATCAGATGAAGCCCTGGCTCGTATTGGCAGCACTGAGGAAGGAAGAGGCCTTCTCCCAGAGAAGAAGGGGTCAGTGGGAACGAGGGGCCCCGACCGCGGGCAGCGGTGGTGTTTCTAGGTCAGCCGGCAGGTAGTGGCAGTGGAGAAACGAGGAGGCGGGACGGAGAACCTGGTGGTGCTGCTGATGGGTCACTGTGGGTGTCGGCTCCGAACTCAGGGCGCTCCCCAGACTTCCTTTGTCAGACCCCACCCTGTTAGTTCTGTGTCCCATCTTGTTACTTTTTAGTTGAAGACCTGATCAAATACCTGGACCCCGAGTACATCGGCCGCCTCGCCATCCCTGATGCCTCGAAGGTGCAGTTCATCCTGGCAGGTGACGGCGGGCCCGCGTGCGCACGCGCCTGAGGGCGGGGCTGGGGGAGCTGAGCCCCCGTCTTGTCCTAGACACAGCCTGGAAGCTGCTGTCTGGGATTCTGGGCTGGCTGTGGGCTGAGGTCCAGTGATTCTGTGCATCCCGTGGTAGGCACTAGGCCCAGGACCCTGTGCGCCAGGTCGTGGGGCTGGCCACAGTGGGAGCCGCTCCGGTGTTCTGTCCACGAGCCACCCCTAGAAGTTTCCTCCAGAACTTTTCTCATTGTGATCACTGCACAGAGGGTCTTCTAGGGAAGAGTGAGGGCACGTAGCATCGTTCAGGAGAAGGGAGAACGCTGGCATGAGTTTCAGGGTCTTCCACTCACGTGAGAAGGGTCTGGGATTCCAGGGTTGTAGGGGGGATACCAGCCAGCCGCTCACATCTGTGACCACCTGTGTCTGAGCATCTGGGCCTGGTGGCACACGCCTGTCATCCCAGCTGCTCATGAGTCTGAGGTAGGAGAGTCTCAAGTTCAGGCCTGAACAACTTAGTGAGATATTGTCTCAAAAAAAAAAAGGCCAGTAGCTTGGTGTGGTGACACATGACTATAATGCCAGCACTCAGGAGGTGGAGGCAGGAGGATTGCCGTAAGTTTGAGCCTTCCTGAACTACACAGCAAGACCTTTTCTGACAAAAAAAAAAAAAAAGGCATTTAATGGTCATCTGCTATGACCCAGGCTTTATCCTGGATATCAGATACATAATGAAAATCCAGAAAGTTCCTGCCCTCATATGTACAGCCAAAACTAGGAAAGACAAAGTTTCTGCTTTAGGAACCTGAGCTTGTAACTTGTCGGTGCACCGCGACACTGAGGACTGGGTAGCGTGCCAGGACGGCGCTGCCAGAGCCCCAGAGGGCCCCTGACCATGCCACGGCACCAAGTCCAAGAGCTCTCCTGCGCTGACGCTGGAGCCCAGCCTCGACGTGCCTCCGTGGCACTGCCCCAGGGAGCGGACATTTACTCAGAAATAAGCGGTTGCTCGGTTTCCTGCGCCGTCACTCTAACGGTTACCCTTCCCTTCCGCATACGGCCCAGCCTCTTCTTTATGAGCACGGCCAGCATGTTACTGGCCTGCTTCGAACCTCAGCGTCGCCTTGCCTTGCTCTGATCGAATCCTAACTCTCACCCTGCTCTGTAAGGCCCTCCGGAGTGCTGGGCCTGTCCTTCCGCCCAGCCCTGTTTCTTGTGATCTCCCTGCTCCAGTTCAGCCAGCTGAAATTGTTCGCAGCGTCAACTGACAAACATTACACGTAACAGTTCTCTCTCGAGTGTCTGCCCACTCCTTGAATTTCAGTGGGTTTTGTTTTTCTCATGTGGTACTGGGGACTGCATCCAGGCCCTCGCTCAGGCTAGACCAGGACTCTGCCACAGCTACGTCCCCAGCGCACAGTCGCTGCGATGTCCAGGCTGGCTGCCAACTAGGACTACAAGTGTGTGACGCCAAGACCTGCTGGCTTTCATTGCACTGAACGCCCTGCGAACCACTCCTCTCACTGGCTTTCTCACTGCTGTCTCAGCTCTTCTGCCATCTATAATTGTCAGTGCCTCTGAGAGCCACCAAGCGAGACCTGCCTGGTGGAGTCCGCTACTTGTCTCCTCTTTTGGAACTTCCTGGGGGCCCTTGGCACGATACCCAAGACTTCCGTGGCCTACGAGGCATTTACTGGGTTGTTAGAGGCTCAGAGAAGCTCCAGGTGTGTCAGAGAGGCAGGCAAGAGGGGTGGGCAGGATGGGAACGTGTACCTAGCGAAGAAGCCGTGGGCAGGGTCTGAACAAAGCTCCAGGCCTTGCCACCACCCCTGCCAGGTGCTTAGCCCAAGGATAACAACGCCAGGCTTGCTTCACTGCCACCGTCTTGTCTTTATGCTTCAGAGGAGCAGTTTATCCTCTCCCAGGTTGCACTCTTGGAGCAGGTGGACGCCCTGGTACCCATGCTGGACAGTGCTTCCATTAAAGGTACTTCCCTGGGCCTCAGCTCTGCTATGCTGCTTGGGGAGGTGGGTGGCTAAGCAAGACTTCCCTATGCCTCGGGTTCTTTGAGCTCAGGCTGGGTCTGCTCATTTTCTTTATTCTCCACCTTGGGGGTTCCTGTCACCCGCACTAGGATGAAAATTCCCAGGATGGAGAGTCTAGTTTCAGAACCATAGATGGTTGGGGTGTAAAGACACTAACACTAGCAGCCCCAAATCTGGGGATTCCTTCTACCTTGTACCGTACCCTTTAGCATCTACCCCTCAGGGTGCTGTAGAACCCAGTTTTTACCGTTGGCCCTGCCAGGTGTGTGAATTCTTCCTGCTGCACTGCTGAGAGAGTCTCTGGGCCTCGGCTTTGATGAGCAGGCAGTAGCTTTAATTGAATCCAGATACCCATCTTGCCTGTCTCTGGAGGTGTATTTCCCAGCTCCCCCTCCCTTCCCCTGCTCAGCTACCCACTGAGTTGCTGACAGCCTTAAGCTATGGACCCAACGTGGTGGCCAGGGCTCTAGATGCTGGGTTCCAAGTGGTGAGTTTAGGGGTGCGATGTACATCCTTAGTCCATCTGCAGGCTTCCTGCTCCCTGCCCAGGCAGACCTGGCCCTGCTGGGCGAAGAGCGAAGGGGCAGGTCCCATGACAGAGAGCGCTGCGTTTACCTGGCTCTGCTCGTAGCACTTGGGTGTGGTGAGGGCAGCACTGGGGACTCCGAGGTTCTTTCCCCTCTGCACCTCTTCTTTCCCTCCCCTGTGGGTCCTGGAGTGAAGACTGGGGTGGGCAGGGAGCCACCCTCCCGCCGGCTACAGTGGTCGATGAAGCCTGGCGTTTGTTTAGCTTCTGCACTCAATACTCTAATCCTGCCGAAGACCTAATAGACTATTGAGCAGTCCCGGGGGAGCGCACAGGCATCATCAGGCAGTGCGTTGTGTTTTACAGCTGTTCCTGAGCATGCCGCCCGCCTGCAGCACTTGGCCCAGATCCACATCCAGCAGCAGGTACGGGAGGGGAGGGGACTGGAGGAGACAGCGGAGGCAGTCAGGCACCTTCCCATTCCTGCCACCTGGGGAAGGAGCCTGCGGCATTTCTACTTAGACACTTGGAGGTTTACCCTCTATCGTCTGTGTGCCCATCTCAGAAGGGGAAGGGACTTGCCTAGGGCCCCATCCAGGCTCCCTGCTTCCCAGGGTAGGACTATTTTAAGACACCAGAAGGTTGAAGTTGGGAATTCCTAGGAGCCAGGTAATCCCAGCACTCT